TATATTTATGGAGAAATGGACCCGTCAAAAGCCCAAATGTGAGCCCAGCCTAGGGAAATAATTTGCAACGAAGAACGAGTCATATCTCTCAAACCGTACGTTGGAATTGGACGAATTATATATGTAAATTGCATATTTTTCAAGACGGAGTCAACCAAACTTACCATTGTTCGGTTTGCCGCCATCTATTTCGAGAAATTCCTTCCAGATTGAGAGATATCAGAGTTTTTATCAGTTTTTTTACTATTTTAGGTAATGTTTTAGGAGTTTCTTTTGATTGGGAATCAAATCTGGTTTGATTTCAAATTTAACCGATTTACTTCCCTAATCATAAGGAGTCTTTGAAGGAGAGTTTTGTTATTTCTAATTTTGGTAAAGTTCGAGTCCTAGTAGGAGTCTTGTTTATTTTTTATTTAAGCAGATGATTGTAAATCCTAAAGACATAATTTTTTTATCAATAAAATTCCTCTTTAATATTTTCTTCGTGGATTCAGAGATCTTTCTTTGTGGATTTAAAGAATATCTTTTAGTGGATTCCGAGATTTTCACTTCTGCACTGCATTAACTTAGGGGTGTCCAAACGGGTCGGCTCGGGCAAAACCGGGGCCCGGGCCCGGGGCGCATCGGGCTCCGGGTCGGGCTCTGGGCAGACCTGGATTTTTTGGGTTTTTAAATTTTTTTAATTTTTTTTATTTCTTTAAATTTTCAATAATACATAACTAAAAATTAAACAAAATTTTAATAAAAAAATCATATTGTTATTTATTAATCATTTAAAATTACATAAATTACAAATACAAAAAATTATAAAAATTAAAATAATAAAAATAACTTCTTTATTAATAATCAGTAAATCGTTTATAATTATAAATTTATTTTGGAATTCGTCGCATCACAATAGATGAATACATCCTAACTAGGTTGACACCTAATCATCTATATCACTATCATTTGCAATTGTTTCCAAAATAATTTATTATAAATTTTAGCTAATAAATAAAAATTATAATTTGATGAATATTGTTTACTCTTTATATTTATCTGCAGGTCTCAACTCTTCAAATTTATCTTCAATATCAGCCATCCGATCGATGCCTTACGTTCTCTTCTCGTACCTCCACCAATCTTATAAGCACATGACTGCATGTACAGTATACGGATCTAATGATGTCCTGTGGTCGTCGATCAAACGTCCTGCTATGCTGAAGACGGATTCCAGAGCTATCGTGGAAACTTGCACTGTTAGTAAATCACGAACCATGATGAAAAGTATAGGATATAAAACTGTTTCATATACTTTCCACCATTATAAAATATCTAAACTATTATTTTGACATTTAACTAAAGATGCAGTTAAATATTGATCAATTTTAGAAACCTCCACTGATGATCCAAGTCCAGATCCACCAGTTAACTCAGCTACCATTGCATACCAATCAAAACTTATACTTTTGCCCCGACTTGAGCTCGTAGAAGCAGAAGCTGTAGACTGATGTGTAGCTACATCATATTTAGCTGCGTACTCATCATATAATCTTTGAAATTAATTACTAATAGTATTATGATGAGTAGTAGCAGTAATGGTTTGACCATCATCAGTGTCTATAATCATATTACCATACAAGGAATTTAACAAACTTCAAATATCAATATCCTTCAAACATGGATCAATAAGAACCCCCAAACCAAAAATAATAGGAATAGATATAAAATATTTATTAAATTTACTTTCCATTTGAAGAATTATATTTCCAAAATAATTATCCATACGATATTTATTAAAAAAATTTGAATAGTTAAAACTTGTAAAGCAGTTAAAGTAATGGTTGGATAATAACAGCTAGATAATAACATTGTAATATCATAAAAAACTTGTAACATCTCTTTTAAATTACTTATAATTATCCATTCATCTTCAGTTATTCCATACATGCTACCAGAGCTAGAACTAGAAGTATAAAAAGAAATAAAATCATTTATAATTTCTTTATATTCTATTGTTACACTTAACATTACATAGGTGAAATTCCACCTATGGTGAACATCTTTTGGAATTAGTCTGGGTTTTATATTTTTTCTTTTACAGAATTATTTCCATCTTTTAATTCTTTGTTCAGAAGCATTATGAGTATAAACTACTGACCTAACCTTTTCTATCATGGGTTAAAATTCACCAAAAGCACTTTGAACAATTAAATTTAAAATATATCAAACACATCTAATATGAAAAAGATCAACACAACATGGCAATAGCAGAGATGTTTTGATATAATCAACAACTGCATTATTATCAGTTGCATTATCTAGTAAAAGAAAAAAATATTCTTTCTAATATTTCTAATTTTGTAAGTTATTCAATTATTAAATTTGTAATATTAATACCAGTATGCGACTCTTTAAATAGAATAAAAGAAATAACTCGTTTTAACATTTGCCAATTTTCATCAATCCAGTGTGATGTGATACATAAATAACCAATTTGTGTTTTAGATGTCCAAATATCAAGAGTTAAAGAAAATTTACAGTTTAAACTTTGAAAATAAGAAAAAAAATTCATTGTTCCTCCTAATAATATTTTAAAATATCATGTTGACAAGTTTGACGAGATAATTTTTTAAATGCGGGGTAAAAATCATCTGTAAATATATCTTCAAATTCATCATCTTCTACTAATTTAAATGGAAGATTTTTAAGAATGATAAACCTGATGACGCATTTCCTGGCTCGGACTGCGTCATAATTCTAACTACCGAGACTACTAGAAGATGAGGATTGGGAGAGTATAGATTGTCGGATATCACCTTGAGGCGTCTGACCTTTGTTGTGTTTATCGAAATGGCGTTGAGGTGGTTGGTGTCTCTCTAATGATGAGCTTGGAAAATATGACCGTACAACGCACACTTAGCCTTCTGGGTGAGAATCATGTTCATCCCTAGTGACGTCTATCTTCTCAAAAAAAATTCACAAATCGGATCTCGACCTTTTAGGAGCTCTTGGTGTAGTAGCATTGTCGCCACCAGATTCGGGATCAACATCGATAGGAGTAGGAGTAGTAGTTGTACCTCCTGTAGTAGGATGACTCATTTCGGGAGTTGGGCTTTTCCCTTCATAATCAGATGAGGAAGCCATTTGATTAAAGAATTAGAGAGCTAAAGCGATTATTAGAGAGTATTAGATAGAAGTAGATGGGTTTTGGATGAAAAAAATAAATGAAAACCGCCTCTATTTATAGGAGGCAACCCTAGATAATGACCAAAAATAGCGCCTGTAAATTTTTTGATGCGTTTTTGGGATCGTTCTTGGGGGGTATTTTGGTCAAATAGGAAAAAATGACCGTTGAATGTTTACCGATGTCTATGGGCTCACTATACCATGCAGTAATTTTTGAATCCGCGTTGGTGCTGGTCCTCCGCTCCGGGCCCGACTTTTGTCATAAAACGGTACATTAAAGTGAACTGTTTGGTGGCGGGTCGGCCTCAGACCGACAACCCTCCCGGGCCCGTTCTTTTGGGTCGTGTCGTCGTCCGTGCGGGCCGGGCCCGATCGCGGTCGTCGACGGGCGGCCGAACCCGCCGGTTTGGGCCGGGTTTGTCATGCGAAACGCTGCGGCTCCGAGTCAGGGCACGGTCGGGTCAGGACGCGGGTACCCGGTCGGGTAAGGGCCGCGCACCGGGCCTCAGGCCTATTTGGACACCCCTACATTAACTATACCCAAGAAAGATTGATAAGATTTCAAATATAAGCCCAACTTGAAAAACAATTGAAGGCCGCTCGAAGCTAATATACCTAACATCTCTCTCTTAAGTTTTTTCTTTCTTTCTTTCTTTTTTTTCCCCCCTTTTTTCTCGCTAGGATAGTTCTGAAATTTTAAGCCAATTTTGACTTTCGTGAGATCAATTTCTTGCCAATAACGGTGCAAATCAATTTCTTCCCAATAACGGTGCAAATTCCGTGTTGAAAACATTAAAAGCTAAATACAGTCCATGATCCTCATTTCGCAAACGCAACTCGAACTCCATCAAATTTCTGGTGACCCATACTGACAATGAATCTAAGCTCCAATCCAGTAATTGTCTCCATCAACATCCAATGGCGGAACATTAATCCCAAGGATAGATAATTTGAGCAAGATGTGTACTCTCAGTCGCTACTTATTTAATTTTAAAAAAAAATTAATCTATTCCTTTATACAAATAGGAGGATCAGATATTCACTGTTCATACTACAGTAAATACTACAGTAATATTTACTATAGCATTATTACCGTAGCTAATAATTGATTAAAAATATTACTGTAGCACACAGGTATACTGTAGCGCTTAAAATGTACTGTAACAGAGCGGGATACTGTAGCACTTTTAAAAATTCAAATCATGCCATATTAAAAAAATGAGATTACTGTGGCAAAAAAAATACCGTGCAAAGCACGGACCGCAAACTAGTTTGTAACTATGGAAGTATCATCTCGCGTAGTCCAAAACTACAGAATAAAGTGCCCTTAAAAAAAAAGTATGATGCCGTCGACGGATGGCAGCCGTTGACATCTCACCCACACTCCATTTAAACGCAATAGCATCTCAAATACTTTTTATAATCATTTCCGAGTGCGTACACAAGAATATATATGCCATCAAACGCACGTCATATTGTCTATTATTAAACAGTAGAAAATATACACTGTTTCTAATCCATGACATTAATAGTGTACCAAAATAACATGCATATATTTTTGGTATACAATTAATACTATTGACTGGATTCACCAAATACCTTCTCGTTAAACACAAAAGCTTCTCAAACTCCTCCAATATTTTCCAAGTAGAGCGACAAAGAATATGTCCGGCCCTTAGCTATTCCAAAGAGACAAATTCTCCTCTTAATATAACCACTCTTTGAGATTTTGCATCGTACTCTCTCAACACTAGAGGATTGAGGCTATGGACGAACCAACTTCAACGGCACAAAACGATACCCGCACCTG